CAGAGGGCTCAGAGTCTTCTCTTATTTACCTGACTATTAGAGATTAAAAGTTAGGCACAACTATCTAGTCAGTCCACAACAACATCCTGAGACTGGCCTAAGACTAAAAGAATCAGGGTAATTGTTTCTTGTGATTACCAAGAAACCTTACTTAATGTAGAACATCCATACATGGCTCCCCAAAGTGTAGGTTCTAAATTCAAAAGTACATATTCTCTACCAATTATGATCTCAAACAAGATGCCTCAAAAATAATTGGCTCCTTGTTGGTCACCTCTAATAAATCTGGTGATGCCATCCACCAAAATGTTCTATCTTGTTCTCCAACATTGAGTGAAAAATTGTCTCTCCTGCCCCAGATTAAGGACCTGCAAATCAGGTGACAAAAGAGATAGATGATACTAATATAGGGCTAGCCATTGATAGAGTAAATGCATCTATACCATATGTGTAAATACTCATAGGCAATGTTTTAAACACTAATTTGGGGGAAGAGGTAGATAGATCTCCTTTCTTCAGAAGAAAGGAAAATGTAAGTTGAAGTGTTGAATGAAGAAGAAACAATCTGAAAGATGAGAAAGGTGTTTGTGATTTGTATGGAATACCTCAGAGGCACTATTTAACATTGCTCGTGGGAATTTCCCAGAGAAGGTGAGAAATCTTTGGAGGATGACGATGGTTCCAGACACCACTAGAGTTTTAAGACATCTTCATAAATTCTCTGCACCTGTGTCTCAGGTTAGGAAAGAAGGCCAAATTCGTTCCCAGCTGGCGTCGGGGGTTGAGGCAGGTAATTAATCTATATAAATGTACATGTTCTCAAAATAACAAGCTTTGAATATGATCATTAAGTTGTGTATTATTCCATGAATTCTCACAGAAATTATTTCAAGGGAGACCAATAGGGAAGATAAGAAAAGAGATTAAGATTCAGGTGGTGGATAGGAGGAGGCCCGGTGGTGTAATGGTTAACAGTGGACTCCAACCTGAACAGGAGGCAGGTCCTAGTCAACTGCAGCTCCATGGGAGAGAGACGGGGCCTTCTATTCTCAGTTACATCTTGGGAACCCACAGGGGCCACTATGACTTAGCACCGACTCCATAGCAGTGGATTATTTAGGTATTATTACAAATAAAAGAAGGCAGACACTATGTGAGGGATTGCAGGAGCAGGAAATAGAGACGAGCTTGAAATATAACTGATGATAGAATTAGGACATAATAAAATGGGGAGAGAGTAAAAATTGTGTGTTAGGGGCATGAAGAGAAGACGCGTGATGAATAAAGAGCTGATGGCAACCAACAGGAGGATGGTTTAAACATGTTCTGCTGAAGAAAACAGAGTTAAAGACATTCAGAAGTTAAGGGAAATAGAATAATGAGCTACTTACTTAGAGCGACAATGCTCCTGCAGGCTCTGGGAGTTAGAGAGCATGAAAAGCATCTACAAAGGGAATCAGCCAATTGAGATTTCCCAGTGAAACCCACAAGAATTCCTTGATGTGAAAAGTTATCAAGCCCAAGTTAATTGAAGGACTATCATTTATAAATCCTTTAAAGTATTCATATAATGAAGCTCTTCTCTCAAAACACAGCCAGAGGAGGGGCCCGACAGCTAGAGTACTCTCTTTAAATCTAAGCATTGTGTCTCCTTTAAGGAGAGTCCTAGAGTTTTTTTTGCAAGACATAACATTTGTAAGTGACCTACTCTATTTTCAAGAAGGTATGTTTACCTAAGAAATCAAATTTTGTCATGTTACTATTTTATAGTCACCTTTCCAAGCAGCACCTATACATCCTATAACAGATAAACCGAAGGCAGACAGGTGAGAAAGCCTAGCTGGTCATGTGCACTTCTTCCTTCTTTATCGATGACTGCATGGTTTCCAGACATACTATCTCTTGAGATTATTTTATTATTATTATTATTATTATTATTATTATTATTATTTCTGACAACAGGTATGTAGATGAGGAAAAAAATGCCTGGCCATTCTCAAAGACTAGATATAGATGATATAGATATCGACATAGACATAGATATAGATAGATACATCTATATAGAGAGATATAGATATATATTTAGAGGTTCTCAAAATAACAAGCTTTGTATAGGAGAGTTAATTTAATTACATAGTCTTTGAGAAGGACCACATATAAAACAACCTGGACCCTTTTAGAAAGACAGAATAATTTTTCATGTGGCTCATAATTTTCACCCTGTATCCATAGGACATAGAAAGATATGAAGGTTTTCAAGACTTCTGGAAAGTAAGAATGCAACCATTGACATTTATTTAATCATTGATTTACTATTCATTCAACACATAGAACTTACTGCCATCAAATCAATTCCAACCCATAATGACCCAGAAAAACAGATTATAATGGTCCTTTGGATTTACAAGACGAAATATTTACAGGAACAAACAGCCTTGTTTTTCTCATCAGTTTGAACTACTGACCTTGTAGTTAGCAGTTTAATGGACAACACACTACATGACCAGACTTCCTCTCACATATATGTGAAACCTAACATATGTCTGGTGTGTGATCTGTGAGATGGTAAGATAAGTGTGCATTTCCATCAAAGAGTTTAACTTCTAATATGAGAGATAAAAACCAAATACCTGTGTGCTATTTGAGGAGTTTGCCCCTTTTTAAAAATGCAAACCAGCATACTAGGAAGACATATGCTCTTAAAGGCATTTGGGGCAGGTTTACTTGGAAGGATAAACAAGCTTTAGTGAGAACAAGATAAGAAATACAAAGAGTAGAGACATGTGTAAGACAGTAGAAATAGTACATGTGGAAATTCTATATAAGGAAGTCCAAAATGGGTGAACTTCTTAGTGAGGTCCAGGATATTCAAATGTACAGATGTAGCTATATTAAAGAGAACAGACAGAATGAGCAGTATGCTTTGATGACCCAGATGTGAAGTGCTGACTGACTTTTACAAAACCATAAAAGCCAAAATAAGAATTTGCAATCGTGTTGTAAGTGCAGCAGAAGCCCTCAAAAGACTTCAGATTGGAGGTTCTCAACCTGTGGGTTGTGACCCCTTTGGGAGTCAAATGACCATTTCACAGGAGTCATCTGACTCATAACAGTAGCAAAATGACAGTGATGAAGTGGCAATGAAAACAATTTTATGGTTGGAGGGGTCACCACTACATGAGGAACTGTATTAAAGGGTCGTGGCATTAGGAAGGTTGAGAACCACTGCTTTAGACTGAGATAAATAAATCAAGTTTCTGCTTTTAAAATTTACTCTAAATTAAAAATTAATAATACACCGAAAGTTTTCACTAGTGGAATGAGGAAAATCAGATAAGCTATATTATATATTGACTATAGGTGTTGAAAAAAAGAAAACATTTTTGAGTGAATTTGGCAATTGGTTACGTTTGATGATAAAAAACATTTCATGAGGGTTTCTTTCTCTTATAGTCCCAGAATAAAAATTCCATAAGTGACTGTCATCTCATATCTTATTTATGGTTGTTTCCAGGCCAATAACTTGTAGTCTCTGCTCTTGAGCACATTAAAATAAGTCTAAGAAATGTTTAAATCATTGGACATTATGTAGAGAAGATACTAATTTGAGCAACTTTTGAAAATAATGTATATTTGTAGTTATTGGCCATTGGAAATAAAATGGGAAGGGTGTCCATATTGTGGGAGGTCTTATCTATTTGTGCACACATGCATGAATATATCTGGATATGGATTTGTTGTGTCAGTAAATTATATGTAGGATTGTGTATGTGTTCATGTGTGGGTGTCTGTGTTTTGGATGTTAATATTGAAAAGTTTTTGATCTTTAATATATTAGAAAAATGTTCTATTTCATTAAATATTTTAAAGTTGCTAGTGAAACACTAAATATTAAAGATTGTGGAAGATGTGGAGTCCCAAATTATTATCTGATTACATGATATTTGTTCTTATCTCTATTTTACAGATAGTAAAATTAAATTTTAGGGGTCAAATATCATTGCATGACATTGGCTGGGTAGCAATAAACCACAGTGTATAAAAGACTCCTAGATCCTGTTTTCAATATGGATTTCCCTGTGCTGATCAAGTATGAAATTAATGAGTATTTGACCCCCTCATATGAGAATGTATTTCAATTTAGGAGCTGTGAAAGAGCCCTGCCTCACCCAAAATGTGAGCACACCAGGATGGATTTTAACATATCATATACCAACCACCAGAGTTTCATTCTGACAGGCATCCCAGGGATGCCAGAGAAAAACCCATGGATGGCGTTCCCTCTGGGGCTTCTCTACACACTAACTCTCCTGGGAAATGGCACTATCCTGGCTGTTGTCAAGGTGGATCAGAGTCTCCATGAACCCATGTACTACTTCCTCTCCATCCTGGCACTGACTGATCTGAGTCTCTCCATGTCTACACTGCCCACTATGCTCAGCATCTTCTGGTTTAATACTCCTGAGATTGCCTTCGATGCATGCATCACACAGATGTTCTTCATCCATGGATTAGGAGGGGTAGAGTCAGGAGTACTCGTGTCCATGGCCTTCGACAGATTCGTAGCCATCCGAGACCCACTGCGCTATGCTTCCATCCTCACCCATGGAGTCATTGGCAAGATTGGAATAGCTGTCATCACCAGATCGGTTTGTCTTGTTTTCCCTCTGCCCTTCCTTATAAAGCGGCTACCATTCTGTCGCTCCAATGTCCTGTCTCATTCTTACTGTCTCCACCAAGATGCCATGAGACTAGCCTGTGCCAGCACACAAGTCAATAGCCTTTATGGCCTCTGTATTGTAGTCTTCACTTTGGGGCTGGATGCCCTCATCATACTGTTTTCCTACACGCCCATCCTCAAGACCGTGCTGGGCACTGCTTCCAGAGCTGAAAGGCTCAAAGCCCTCAACACCTGCCTCTCTCACATCTGTGCTGTGCTTCTCTTCTATGTTCCTCTCATTGGTGTCACCATGGTTCACAGATTTGGGAAGCATTTGTCACCTGCAGTGCGCACACTGATGGCCAATATCTATCTGCTACTACCCCCAGTACTTAATCCCATTATTTACAGTATGAAGACTAAGCAGATACAGAGACGGATCATCCAAGTGTTCCAGCGGAGAAAGAATAGAGTCTAGTGGACTGAAAACACGTACAAATATAAGAGAAAGTGAAAGCTAGCAACTGGGAGACTTAAAGGGAATCTTGGTGGTTCAGAGGTGGTGCATGGCTTCTTCTACTAACCAAAAGGTGGCTGGTTTGAACCCACCAATTGATTCTTGACAGAAAGACATGGAAGTCTATTTAAGCAAGCATTTTACATCCTTTGATCCTCTGTGGACATTTCTACTCTCTTCTAAAAGTCACTGTGAGTGGTTATCAACTCAAAGCCATGAGGATAGGTCTCTGGTTCAGAAGTTTAATTTTTTTTCAGTAGTAACTCAAAACCCATTGCCACTGAGTCAATTCCAACTCCTTGCATCCCTAGTTAACAGAGTGGAGCTGTCCCTTTGTGTTTCTGCATTTGCAAGTTGTACTGCAGCTGGAAGCGTCATCTCTCTCCCTTGGAGAAGGTGGTGGCTTCAAACTCTTACTTGATCTTGTGTTCAGCATATCACCCCAGAACACACTACATGACCAGGGCTCTTTTCAGCACATATTTAAAAAGTGCTACCATTGAGTCAATGCTGACTTACAGCGACCACCAGTGGGCTTCCAAGACTGTAACATTTCAGGAATAGAAAGCCCAGTCTTTCTCGGAGGAATTGCTGGTAATTTCCACTGCCAACCATGGGGTCGCAGCCTGACACGTAACCACTAGACCAGCGGGTTCCTTAGTGGGCTTAAATTATGCATGTCTACTAAAGGGGAGGTTCACTAAAGGGGAGGTTCGGGGAACATTTGAAGGTGACAAATCAACAAAGATCATTTGTGTTCTATATATAGTCTCTGTTTGGGAATCTATACATCCCAAATCCAAAAGATTTACTTAACATTATACTTCTTTCTTCTTCTTTAAAGTGATAAGTAAACATCAATGAAGGCATAAATTATCATCTATTAATCTTTTAATATTTATAAGTATGTTTTAAGAAATCTTAAGTAATATATTTTTTAGCCATAAATTAGTATTAGCCATAAAATAGTAATTGAATCAAGAAGTATTGCAATTGCTCTGTAACATTATTGAAGGATGGGGCTTCTGAGATTTTTCTTAAAATAACAGAAAGAAAACTGTTATGAGATCAAATACAACTTTATGTTCCGGAGGTTATTGGATGAATAGTGCATTTCATGAACTTAAAGCTAGTACATATACTAGCCTTTTCATTGAAGTGATATCACCATTTTTTTTAAATCAATTTATTGGGGCTCATACAATTCATCACAATACATAGATCAATTGTGTAAAGCATATCTATACATTTGTTGCCCTCATCATTCCCAAAATTCGCTTTCCTCTTGGGTTCCCGGAATCAGCTCATTTTCCTTTTTCCCCCCCCCCCTCCCTTTCTCCTCCCCCCCTCCCCCATACACCCTTGATAATTTATAAATTATTGTTATATCTTATATTACACTGCCAAGCGTCTCCCTTCACCTATCCCTCTTCCCTGAAAATCCTTATTATATTTTCTTTCCCTATAGGCTCATTGTCTCTGGGTTTCATTTACAGAAAAACAAAGAAACAAATGATACCTCTCAAGAGGGTAAGCCCCAATGGCAATGAACCCCTGAGAAATACCCCAAGATAAACAAGTATAAGCAGAATATAACAGAATGACCATCACTAGATTTCCAGAATAATACGTGTCTTAATATAGCATACAGGGTGTAGATGTATCAAGACCTTGTTAGTCCGCCAAACACCAGTACACCGCTCTTCGTACAGCTGTCTTCTTCTTCCTCAGTCAGCATGTGTTTTCTGGCTTAAGTCCTGGGGTAAAGTACAGTTCACCCAGTGGACTTCCCATATGGGGAGGGTCTCAACAACGCAGTCTCTGGAACATGCCATATGCCCTGAAAATCCAAGATTCAGTGTCCCAGCATTCTACAGCACTCAGTCTGGGTTCCCAGGATACCTAGGTCGATTCTGCCCACCTGCTGCAAGCCACTGAAGACTCTTCCTACCTAATGTTCCCAGAGCATCATCAATCTCTTCCCCCACCCAACCTGTAGGACAGCCTTCCCTCCTTCCCCTCCCCCTCAACAGATATGCCCTATGTTCTCCCAAACTTGGCTGTTCCCTCTCCTCTCTCCTAAGCTGCCACTCCAATCACTGAGCCTCATCACTTTGTCAGGGCTGCCTCCCTCTCCAGGGTACTAAACCAGATCCAGATGGCAACCAGTCAGGAGACAGCATCCCTCCCTCCTCTCCCCAACCGTTTGATGCCCGCAGTTGTGAGGTGCCCTCTAGCCAAGTGACTTAAACTAACTATACTTAACTGGAGTGGATGATGGGTGGTCATTGGCACTGGTACAGCTCTTGACCAGGCTGTTTGGTCTCCCAGAAGAAGACTGGATGCCCTCAAAGCTTGATCTTGGGCCCATTCTGCTGCTTGTTCCTACCGCAGTGGACCCACACTGTATTTGTCCTTTTTTGCATGACTAACTTCACTTAGTATAAGTAATATCTTCAAGATCCCTCAATGAGTTGATATGTTTCATGGTTTCATCACTGCTTATTAGGGATGTGTAGGATTCCATTGTGTGTATGTGCCAGAGTTTTTTTGTTCACTCTTCTATTGATGGGAATTTAGGCTGTTTCCAGCTTCTTGCTATTGTGAGCTGTGCTGCCATAAACATGTGAGAGCAAATGTCTGCTCATGATCTGTTTCTTAGGAAATAATAAACTTTCTAACAAATCAAGAAATTGCTAGGTTAGAAATAATAGTTTTCTGGGATAACATAACCTCTACTATCAGTTTCTCTCTACAGTCTTTTGAACACTACCCAACAGCTATCTACTTTCACTCTTTTGCCAAAAAAGCTTTAAACACAGCATTTAAATTGAGCTCAATATCTGTTCTTAAATGATACTTCATTTCCCACACTCATAGTGAGACATAATTCAATTCTGAGTCTCTATATGGGCTGTTATCATCTCAAAGGGGTTCAATGCCAGTAGTCTGAGAAGTGGCGCATGACAAGTTTGGCTACAGTGCTCTAAAGTCACAGAGAAGAAGCTGAGTAGTAGATTCTAAGGTTGGAAAGCATGCTCAACTTTTGTTTCCCAAGTTCACTGTGGATGCTGGGATACAGAGACCAAGAAAAGCCTGGATGGGAAACACAGCAGAATGAAATGCACCACGAATGTTGTGATTACGAATGCTTTTTCTGACATCTGACTTACATGGGGAATGGAACCTGATATTTTGTCTATCAGGCTGTTTGGCTGTAACTAACTTTTTACCATTTATATGTTATCTATCAGCCCACATAGTATGATTGGCAGGTCTTGTTAAATATTCTCATGGTGGCTGAAAAAAAGGGGGAGAGGGTGATCCAGCACAAAACCAGGGAAACGCAGTAGTTAACTGAACCCCTTAACAAAAGCTGCATCTATAGGAAAGCACAAAATTGAGGGGAAAAAAACAAGAAAATCCAACTCAGTTAAAAATTTGGGGGTTTCAATTTCTCAGGGCTCACCTACTGGCTCACCGATTTCTTATGGGTTGAATCTTTGTATGTAGAAATGATCTTGCTCATGTGCTCAAGCTTCCTCTGTTGTTGTAGCCATTATGCCCCATGCTGATTTCGACCCCAGGTTCCTCCAACTTACATCTAACCAAAGGTTGTAGGCAAGTAAATGCTGACTCTTTTTTCAGGATGTCTATAACCCAACCAAGTCTTGAAATTTAGAAAAATGAATTGGCTGTCATTTTTAGCTTCAAAGGGGAGGAACCTGTAACCCAAGTTATTTCATTTAATGTAGCTAGGGCCTGCCCCCTTACTAAATGCAGTCCCTATGAATGTTCATTCCTTGATGTATCGCCCAAAGACAAAGAGACTGGATCTGATTGTCAACTAGAAGGGGCAGATGACTCTGACAGTCTTCTCTTATTTACCTGGTTGTAAGTGATCAAAAGGCCCAACTATCTAGACTGGCCTAAGAAAAAATGACATCCTGAGACTGGCCTATGACTAAAAAGAATCAGGGTCAGTAATTGTTTCTTTTGATTACCAAGAAACCTTACTTACTTAATGTGAAACATCCATACATGACTCCCCAAAGTACAGATTCCAAATTGAACAAGATATATTCTCTATGAATTATGATCTCAAAGTAGGTGCCTCTAAGGTAGTTGGCTCCCTATTATTAGTCTCCTGTAATAAATCTGGTTACACCACCTAACAAAATGTTCTATTTTTTTCTCCAACATAAAATCAAAAATTTGGCTGTGCTGCCCCAGATTAAGGATCTGCATGTCAGGTGTTAGAATAGATTGATGATACAGATATAGCTCTAGATGCAGATATACTATACATACAATACATATGTACATGCAAGAACAATATTTTAAATTCAAATTTGGGTGAAGAAGTAAATCCTCTTTCTTCAAAGCTGAGAGGAGACAGAGAACAGCAGAAGGAAGGAAATTTTTAGATTAAATGTTGAATAAATAGACAATCTGACGGATGAGAAAATAGTTTGGGATTTTTATATAGTAGCTCAGGAGCACTATTTAACATTGCTCATGAGATTTTTCCAGAGGAGTTGAGAAAGCTTTAGAGGATTATGATGGTTCCCAACACCTCTGGAGTTCTAAGTCATTTTCATAAATTCTCTGCACATTCGTCCCAGGGAAGGGCAGAGGCCAAGTTCATTCCAAACTGGACTCAAGAGATTGAGGCAGGAAATAAATATATAAAATTTAAAGGTTCTCATACTAATAAGGTTTGTATAAAGTAATTTATGTGTATTACCCCATGATTTGCCACAGAAATTCTTTCAAGGGAAACAGTAGGGAGGATAAGAAATAGTATTAAAATACAGGTGTCATAATTACAAATGAAAAAAGGCATACACAATGTAGGAATTTGCAAGAGTATGAAATAGAGGTGGTGTTGAAAGATAACTGATGACTGGATAGCTATATAAAGAAAGGTGGACAGTAAAATTTTTGTTAAGGTTATACAG